ACCGCCCAGGTTGTTGCAAGCTAGTAAACTTTCATACTTCGTAGGAGTGGTGTGTGGAAACCATTTTAGATCAGGCAAGTTGAAATCACTTGCGACAATTTTGTGTTCACCAGGATGGCTTGATGCATGCTTGAAACTTACCACGAGTGCATTTTTATCCACTTGTGATGTGTCAGGGGCTCTATAAACGCATCATAATAATACTGTGGATCCAGTGATATCGGTTGTTATCCATACGGAGTCCATGGTCTCTGCAGTGGTAATGATTTCCGTTCTTTTGGGTAGATATCACTCCTCCTACCTCGTTAGTGTATTCGTGGTTGCATATACAGGCGTTATCCAGGAAGTGTGTGGGAATCATCGACAATGGATGGGGTGAATTACGTTTCAGTGACAAAAATTGCGTCTGGTTCGGTAAGGACGGTCATTGGACCTAGAACGTGCATCCTATTACTAAAGGACCTGGCATTGATAAGTGTGAGTGAGGAACTGTCAAGGTCTCTTACGGATGATGCGAAGACGTCACTGACTGCTACTGGGCCATTTGGAGAAGATGCAGTAACTGGGTGAGTAGACTTAGGAGCGGGTTCCTCAGTAATACTTTGTTTGGCGTCGGGATGAGCTTGTCTTGGCTCTCAAGGTCGGCGAGGACAAGCAGAGGACGCCGGATATGCAGTTTATTGTTTAGGGACCTAGTCTTTATAGGTAGGAGTGAGAAAAAATTTTGGGGTCTACTAGCTTTAGAGATGACGAAATGAAGCCAGCTATCTACAATAGTTGTAGGAAGCGTGAGAAGGCATTGCAGTGGGTAGTTGGGCGACGAGGTCTTTGGTGCCGGGATGAACCTGTCACAGCTGATCCTCACCTGGTCCAAAAAATGCGCAGGTTGCGGGATAGGAAGTATTGGACTATTTGGCCTATGTATCTGGACCAGCGGCATAAGTCTGAAGGATGTCTCAGGTGTGCAGCAACCTGGATGCGCAGGAAGTTGAGCGGAGCTGTGTAGATTGCCAACTACAGTGCTCACCATAGGTGAATTGTTTGTGGTCGTGGTACGCGGTGCCGTTTCACTAGCACCTGAGGTATGATTCAGTAGTCGGCCGGTGGCCGAGTGGTCGGCACGTTTGCTTTCCAACCATAAGATCACCGGTTCGAATCCGCGTAGGGGTGGGCGTCCTCGCGGTATACTCAGCCCGCGCGCGTCTGGTGGTGGTCGCGCGGCAGCGAAGCGCCGTTACGGCGTATAAGCTGACACATTATGATTCAGTAGAGTCCGTCTTGCTAGGCTGAAATACCATTGCACTAACTTGGTTTTCTTGCGGAGTTGTTCATAATTCAACATTATAGTGCTCACGGTTTTATTATCGTCTGTTTTCAGTTTGTTCAGGGCTGGGGATATGCTGATCCTTTTGGCCATCCTCTCAATTTGTACCGGCTTTTTCGCAATACCGTTAACGTTAACAGTTGTGCTGTCAAACTTGTCCTTCGTTACGCCATTCGGAAACTTGAAAGCAAGTATGCTGAACTCCACGTTGTCTTAACCAGGTTGCGGCGACTGCTTGTCTACGGATCTTGATATATTTAAGACACATGCAGGCGCTAGAACCATCATAGGAGAGTGTATAGGTGTGTTTGCTCCGCAAGCCCGATTAGCACTAGGAGTCGTCTTAGTCTTAGACACGGTGCTGTCTAAGAGGTTATATGTCGCCCGCCACTTTTCGTTGGATGCGCTGGGTTCTCGTTGACTAAAGCCTGTTTTATTGTTAGGATTTGTAGCAACCCAACTTATGCTTCTTTTCAGCGGCCCAAAAGTAGGCTGGCTCGGCATCATTGCATTGCGGCTGTTCATGGTTAACTATGATAGTACGCAATACTGCTTCATCCTTTACATTCAGTTTGATGGGAGACGCAAATTTTTTTACACGCTTGTTCACTCGTTGAACATGCAGTGCATTCTCTGCAATGCCATTAACCACAATAATTGCACGCCTAAATGCGTCCACCGTTATATCTTCTGGGACATTGAACACTAGTGCGCTACACAATCCGTTCCTGCACGCAACGTTAAATGGCGCTAGGGCCTCCTCTTTTCCTATTTTCAAAGTTTGTTGTCATTGACCTCGGCGGCTCAGGTGAACTCGGTGCTGTGGTCCATACACAAGGTTTATTGGCTAGTGGCGCCGGCGTCTCTGTTCTCTGAGTGTAGGATATGCTGATCTCGCTTCGAGTCACGTTGGAGTGTTGGAGTGAACTGAGCTATTTAAAGGTTGCCTTAGATGTTCGTCAACCGTTGTCCCTTCCCGTATAGCGGGTCGGCTTATATCAGCAGCTGAACACGTTGTATTAACTGAGACGGTTCCTATGTTGTTCTCAGGTTGGCTAATTTGACCCATATACGAAGTAAATTTATGGATAGTACTGGTCCCAGGGTTTGCAGATTTTTCCAATAAATTAAATTATCCAGTATCCAATTCAAACGAAATGTCAAAATCCACAGTAGTTGCGGCACTTAGGTTCATCGGCACCGGACAGTTGTCACAATTCGCTTGAATACGTCTGGTATGTGCGTAGCTTTCTCTTAGACCATCGTAAAGGTATTGCAAAGCCGTGCTTGCTGGTACTAACTTTAAGTCAAGGAACGTCGCTTTGATAGGAGAGAAACGTGAGGGCCACTCACTTATTATTAGGAAAGCTGAAATTTATCGGAAGACAAGTCCAGAAATACCGTAGAATTGCAGCTTGTACCAAAAATGCGAATGCGCAAGGAGTCAAAAGCTTAGGAAGTCAGTGAACATCACGCCTACTGCCTTCCCTCGCTCGTCAACTTCTGCCCAATGTTCTCGAGCCATCAACAGATTAGTAAGACAAGAATAACCTTTACGAAATCCGTCTTGAGAGGAGTTGAGCAACCCAAACGCTCTTAAAACTCCTTCTAGTGCGTCTCAAGTCTTACCAACAGCTTGACCAACACCCTCGTCAAACTGACCGATCCATAGTTTTCAGGGATGTTTGTCACTTTTTTTTAAATGGGACGCAATGGCCTCCCAGTCGGTGGGTAGAGAGCAGTTGCATAGAGACTTCAAACAGATGCGTACTCGGAGGGCACTGCTCGTCAGCGAACTCGTACAACAGTTTGGGTTGAATAGCACCCAACAGCTTTATTTGGATTTAATTCCCGCAGAAACCGAAGCACTTGAGCCTCTGATATGGAAACCTTCCATGAAAGAACCTTCAGGAACTTTTGCCTGCAGGCTGACATGCGGCATCTGGGACTCTCAAACATACACATCTGCATATTGTTCACTGAATAAACAAGCTTTGTCGTAATCCTTGACAGCAGCAGATCCGTCAGAGCCTAACAACACCGGGATAGACGAGTATATATTGCTTCGCCTTTTGACATAAGCGAAAAGGCGTTTTGGATTACATGAGACTGTACGAGCAAGCTCAACTTCCTATTGTAGTCGAGCACCTCGCAAATGCTGCCTGCAAGCATTTCGAGCATCCCGGTAGCGCTTGTTGGTGCATGATGAAAGAGCAGAGTAATAGCTTCATCAACATCTAGTGCGTCTGTTAAGTTTTTTGCGTGCGGCAGAATCAAACCAGGGTGGGGTTGTCCTACTTTTATTCCTCACAGAAAGGCGTATGTGAGGGAGAGAGCTCATACAAGTAGGACTTAAATTTGTCCCAAGATGTCTGAATGTTGTCAGTTTCCAAAATGATGTAAGGCGACTTTGCAGCCTCGGTTTTTATTGCTTGAAGGTCCACACGCCATATATTTGGGTCCCGGTCGGGACGATTATTAATCATACGACTAACAGCGCGTTTGGACGACAAAAAACGTGGTCGCTAGCACCAAGGTGAGTTATAAATAATGTCCGCGACAAATTCAACGGATTTAACAAAGTTAAGGTCCAAGAGGGACGGGTTTTGTCGCATCATGAATTTAGTGGGCCGCTCAATGATCTGATGCAGGGAAGCATACATGGCTAGATCGAGAAGCTCAGTAGCAAAACACCTTGAGACAGCATTGCGTGAAAAATTCTACCAGTCAACGTCGGGGAGATTAAAGCCCTCCACTTCCATCCAGCTCGTACTCTTACTATTTGGTTGTCCAGCCGCCTACGAAGTATCTCTTTTGCATCTCAGCCCCCTCTGTCTTGTAGGACCTGCGTGCGTCCCGGACACGGAAGCTCTCGGAACTCCCAACCGGACGCAAATCACACCCATTTCGTTAATAAGTGTAGCAGGTCCGAGCGTCACCTTGCCGTAACCTCTAAGATAAAGAGCTCGTTGTATACGGCCACTGATTCTTCCTCTTTTATTTATCTTCACGTTTGGTTTTGTTGTAGCCTCTTACGAGGTGGCTGACTTAGTAGCGGGAAATGAAGTCACTGACGACCAAACTGGGTGCCGTTGGTCCGTCTCGCCTTCCGGGCTGAAGTCCACGTGACTCGCCTTTTACTTGGCTCTAAACTTCACAAGACACGGCTCGCAGTAAACACCGGTGGCGCGTCTGCTGCCGTCTCCTTATCAAATTGCCTGTTTAAAGTGTGTTCGGTGCTCAGTTATCTGCGGGGTTATGGCTGATTATGACGCGTGGCAGTGAAAGCCGCAAGGAAGCTGTCTCGCCGATGCCGCCTTATCTTTGCACGATAGCCAGCTGTTTGTGACGGTATGTCATTAACACAAAGTGTAGGCGCCTTGACCCAGAATGTTTGTTTAGGGCATTAAGGTTTTCAGGTAAGTCCCCCTTCTCTCCCTCTTCTTATTCTTTATTTCATAGGTCCTCATGGTTGTATGGCAGTGATGCATCAGTTCAAATGGCTGATGTACTGCTGTTGATGATGATGATGATACTAGGTGGTTATGAGATGAGTATCCAGCCACCTACGAGGTATTTGCTTTCCATTTCAGCTCCCCAGGTGCATTACGACCTGCGCACGCGCTGGACACGGAGGCCCTCGGAATCCACCACCACACGCATACTACAAGTGTGACGCTTACTTTTCATGGAATTACCAGTGGAGAGTGTGAGCGGCGCAGATGTGAAGATGAGCCAGGAATTTAACGGACAATTGAAAATAAGTGAACCTGTTTCAGGTCACCAAAATATTAATATTTTGTCGTCAACTAAAAAGCAGAGAAAGAAGAAAAAAGCCAAACCGGAAGGCATGGTTTCTTATGTGTGCTAATTTTATTGTCAGGGAATGCGTCTTTGTCGTCAGACCAGGTGCAGCAAAGTGCTGTTCAAGATTTGAAATTGTCTCCTGCAGCACATCTGATTGCACATGATCGTTCCAAGGACGGACAGAATATGAAAAGTCATCGCTCCAAAACGACTAACTGCTCACTTACTCAAACGGATCCACCCAGTGTTCCTATCTGTGAGTTGTACGAAGGGCAAGACTTCCCAGTTGGTGAGATTATGGACTATCCTATCGAAGTCGATGGGTAAGTTCCATCGACCTTTATACCCGAATTTGCTTGTTCGGATAATTTTACTTGCTCAATGGATTAGTCGGCGAACGAACTTTACGTGCGTGACGTTGCGCATCTGCAAATATTTGTATCATGAACAACTTATCGGAGGCTGTGACCAGTACTTCTACTGAATAAAGTTTATAGTAGCTGTCTATTTACACTTGCCTAATGTGTCGGGGTCTTGCTTTTATCCTTGAAATTTTGATCATCTACTGTGCCATTCCCCTCCGCTATAACACACTATCCTCCCACTGATCTGGAAGTGATGAACCAGACAAGGCTTATCCCATCTGCTTTCTATTACTCAATGTATGTGTTTAATGTATAATCAGCATATAACTGTCCATCGTAACGTTTGCTGTATAGCAATTTCTTATATGGTGCGGTAAAGAGGCTAATTACGTTCGACAATCGCTGCCTTCACAGCTTAGCTCATGCCTACTATAAACCGCGTGATCAATCAGCCAACTCAGTGTCTTATTTTATGCAGGAAGAGCCAGTGAACCCGCTTTGCGCTTTCCTATCACACAGGCTACGATAGCTATGCCACGTGTTTCGCATGCCAGCACAACGACGCGCGCGACATGTGTGTTTAGCTCAACAGTATCTGGGTTGAATAAAATTGGACGCTAAGCGATGACTTAGTCGAAAGAAATGAAAACCATCACTTTGAACTTGGCCTCGGTCGGTTCCTCCCGACTGCCGATTGGATACACTTGTTAGCATAGCAAAGAACCACTCAGTGCCGTTTGCGTTGTTTCTTTGCCTCCCTTTCGCTTAGCTTTCTT